AAAGTTTTTAAGAAGTTAAAAACAAAGAAAAGACAATGCAAAAAACTTCCCCATAAAGCACAGTGTGCCGTGATGAAGGTCAGACAGTGTTTTCCCCTCCACAGGGCCAAGCACAGGGCTAGGCACTGGCACTCAAAATGAGATGCATGGCAGGGGAGAGGCTGGGCAGGGAAAGGAAGGGTCTTTCCTTACCCTAAACCAGAGGAACATAACCATCCTACCCGCCTGCATACCTCACCCCTTCCCTCCTGGAAAGCTTCCTTTAGCTCTGGCGGGAGCACCCAGGCTTGCAGCCTTGAATGGGGGCCCAGGGGAGTACTGCATCCCCAGCTACCCCTGAAGCAAATGAAAAAATATAGAGATAGGAAATGTGCTTGTGATTCTGTCACTGGGATATGCAAATAAAATATATATGATAGGTCTATCTGCCTAATATTCCTGCCAATTCATTCTCTGGGTGTGATTAAAATGAGCAATAAATTCCTCGTGAGTCTCGGTGGAGTGAGGATCTGGGAGTGGAGACGTGGGTTGGCACCAGCACGTCCCCCTCAGCTGAATATTCATCATGGAATAGCTCTCCATATTTTTGTTTTATCTGCCATCATGTGCACAGAGATATATTTCTACCTCTCCTTCGTCACTTAGTTAAGACAGGAAAACAGTCTAAGCTTTAAGTATTAAACTCTCCGTCTAGGGAAATCCTTCAAAGTGAGATCACAGGCTACCTTCTCTATGAAGTCTGCCCTGGTCATTCTGCCTGGAGGAGATCCACGCTTTGTTGGAGCCCCACAAACTGTGTAGAACCCTCCCCTAGGGCACAAGTCAGTTGGTGGGCATCGGGACAGAAGCTGAGCTGCATCCACCTCTGGATCTTCTTGGGGACCCCAATGGGGCTTTCTCTACACAGAATGCTGAGAGAACTGAATAACCAATAGTGAGGAGAAACTCATTTAGGCCAATTAAGGTGACAGAGATTTTAGATAAGCAACACCTTTTAAAGCAGAATGAAATAGAAGATTAGGCTAATGGATCATTTTAAAAAAGGAAAATCATCAAGAAATAACATTAAGTGAAAAAAAAAAAAAAGGCAGATTCCAAATAAGGACCTAGGATCATAACTCAAACACCTTGAGAGCCAAGTAGGAAATACAAATATCTGACAGGCAAGCACATACAATAGGGAACGGGAAGGCCTGTGGCTAGAGGACCCCTGTTCTAACCTCTAAAGCATTACATTCACATCTTTAAAAATTTTGGGTTGGCAAAATAAAACATGGCTGCCAGTTTGAGATCCCTGGTATATGAGTACACAGTGAGCTATCAACTGGGTTTTAAAAAAGTCATCTACATATATCTATCAGTATGGCCCAGAAAAGGTATAGTATCATAAGAGGAAATCTCTGATTTATATCTCAATAGTTACTTATAACAACCTGATTTTCTGTAAGTCACTTGCTTTCTTTCAGCTCCAATTTCCCATTTGTAAAATGGCAGAAGAGCTGCTTCATAGATTTGTTATAGGACTAGAAAAAATACATATTAGAGCACCTGGCATAGTGTCTGAATACACTAGATAAGTGGTACCGACTATTACTATAAATAATTAAAGATATTAATAGGAATTATGTATAGATGTAAAGGCTAGTATGCTTTTAATCGAAATTCTGCTATTTGACATTTCTTCCAAGAAGCCTTCCTTGATCTCCCAGGCAGGATGAGAAGCCACCTCAGGGCTTCCCTGGGACTAATGACTGAGGGGTGTCATAGTTCACCTGCCTGTCTCCTTGTCAGACTGTGATCTCCTTCAGTGTTTCACTTCTGTCTTTTTCCCACATAGCCCAGAGCCTGGCACACAGATGTCATTTACAAATATGTACTGAATTATTTGTCGTATTTTATTTTCCAAAGTTTCTATAATGGGAGAGATGACTTTCATAATTAAAATTTTCTGTAATGAGCACATATTTGACTATAGAGTGGCAGGCAAAGGTGGAAGAGGCTGAGCTGGGTGGCAGAGGATGCTGGATGGACAGAAGAGGAGTAAAGTAAGATCAGAGTGGTGGTAACCTATGTCTAGACAAAGAGCCAGGAGATGAGGCCTCGGGCTGGAGCCTCTGCACCCTCCAGGCCTGAGTCATTATGCTGCAAACAGAGGGCCTGAACTCAGGAACAGCTGCTGCTTACTTTCTGGCAGAGGGAGACAGAAACCAGGTCTAAAGCAGTGCTCTTCCTCAGAAACTCTGCCTTCCAATTTTGAAGAGGTAGCTTTGCAGCTTGGAAGGAAAAAAGCAGAGCAGAAAGAATGGGTGATTACTCAGATACAAGGCAAATGAGAGAAAGACAATGCTGCTGACATTGAGGGAGAACTGGGGGGCAATTCAGCTGGTTAAGATCTGATGGGATGGCAGAACAATCAGGTGGAGAAGCTCGGAGGACAGCTGGACATTCCAGATGTAGGAAATCCAGACCAGATGAAGGGATCAAGTGCAGAGAAGTGACAGAAGAGAAACAGTCTTCCAGCTGAGAGGCTACAGAAGCCCTGGGCTGACTCTAAGTGGTTGTCTAGCCTCTACAGACAGCCCCTTGTACTGTACAACAGTTCTGTTAAGGAGCTCCTCCTTGCATCTGCCACCTATTAAGCTTGGCTCTGTCCTAGTTTTGCCACTGCATGAACCTCCTTCCTTCCCACTCACAGCCGTTCCTGTGCCTACATGCATCTCTCCTCTCTGGGCCAGATGACCCTATTGCCTTCAGCCTTTTCTCAGAGCACAGTTCCTTTTGTCCCCTTACTGCCCTCTTTCGCACAGATTCTAAGAGCTCAGTCTACTCAGAAGGAAGTGCCTGCAAATCGCCCTGCAAGGTCCAGGAGAGTCTGGTTGGCACAGACGAACACAACTGCCATTTCTTAACGTGGGACAGAAGCCTTGTGGCCAACATCAATCTATTTTTTGGGCAGCCAAATTTTGTTCAGGGTCTCTCAGCAGCCCTAACCACTTCCCCTCTGCTGGCACTGAAAGGCCTGTGTTTTTTGCTTTCCATCACCAGAATCAGTCCTATGTCACATTACCTGACAAACCACTTACACTCTTGGGCAAGTGTAGTGCTTGCTCTCAGGAGACCCGAAAGGGGAAATAACTGGGATGCAGCCCCCAAGGTTATTTGAAACATGCTTAGGGATTTCCTTAAGGCCCCTGGGGAAGCTGACCTGGTTTCCAGGGCTGCCCCTAGGGGTGGGAAATCTGAACAAGAAGAGGGAAGCATTTGCTCTGTGCAATTTTTGTTTTTCATTGCTCCCAGGTGCCCCTTGGAATGTGTTGTAAATGCCAGTCCACCTTCCTAACTCCTCCCCTTTTCTGAAGTGAACACTGCAAGATGGTTACTGAGGATCCCAAGGAGACAAACTGTAGTTAATGCTGGTTACCAAATAATTCCAATTCTTCCCTTTCTAGATACTGGGAGGTTCACTCTTGGTCTCCTTGTGATCGGGCAGGAACATGGGATTAGTATGTCTCGTGCACTGTGAGTGGAAGTAGAGGGTTCTACTCCTAGGCTGAGCACTTAACTGCAGATGCAAGATTTTCCAGAAAGTTCTTTTCGCTCTGGCAAGCAACCAGCAACATTCCATAGGGTGGCTATTTTGCACTCAGGTCCCTGAGTGCCTGTGATGAGCAGATCCCCCCACACCCCATGCCACTGACCCACAATGAACATGCAGAATGAGGCACAAATAAATCTTTGTTGTTTTAGACAATTGAAATTTGGGGTTGTTACAACAGTGTATTATGTTTATCCTCACTGATACACAAATAACTGTATACTGAATGGAACCTCAGAAAACATTTAGTCCAGTGTTTTCATTCCACAGAGGTAAACTGAACTTCAATGAGGGAAAGTGCTGGCCCAAGGTCACACAGTGGTGGAGCTGGGATCATAACTCATATCCTGTCTCAGTCCAGCAACCTAAGTGCTCTTACTCAAGACAAAGAATATTTGCCACTAGGTGGGACGTGTTACACTGAATCATCTCTGGGCACTTCAGCCAATTTGCCAACAAGAGGCCCCATGATGCTGGCAATAGTGTAAGACAGAGTCAGATCACGTTATCCAGTTCTAGTTCTGCCTCTAAACTTACTTTGCTCAAGTCTATTAGTTTCAGTTTTGATGCTAACTTACTCTGGGACCAAAGGCAAGCCACATCACACCCCTGGCTCCAAGTTCCCTAGAAGTAAAATGAGTCATTTGATTTCAGAAATGTAAAACGTTTGCCCAACAGCAGAGCTTCCATGGAGGCTGCTCAGAAGGGAACAGAAAAGCCAGGGAAGGAATAGGTCCATCTCTCCTTCAGCCAGAACAGCTCTATTTTCCTCTGATTATTTGGTTTGGCTTTGGTATCATTTACCATCACTAGACTTGATTTCTGAGGTCTCTGCCAGCTCTGAGATTTGGATTCCGCCAAGTAGTTCCTGAGTTAACGGTTCAGTGGCTGGAAGGAGCAGAGGCTGCCCTGTTTTTTAGGGAGTTCAAAAGTTTGGGTGAGAAGATCAAATTAAGATGAAGATTTTTGGGGCTGGGGAAGCTCAGACTGTATATCAGGTTCTCTGGAGTGTGTGTGGTGAGGAGACATCAGGGAATGGGTCTAGAGGAGTGGTCACGGAAAAAGGATAACTTGATGAGGCTACGGAATGAATTCATGAGGCTTTAGGGAATAGTACTTGGGCTAAAGATTTTGTCTCACCAGCCTCCCTCCTATGAAGAGGAGCTAGAAGGTCTATCACCTCAAAAATTAAATTTGAAGGTTAATCCTCAGAAGCAAAAAATGGCCTAGGCTTCTTCCTGGTCACGACAGGAAGTTTCCTATTCTTGATGAGATTGGGGGTTAGATTTGTTTTAAACAGACAATAATAACCTAAGAGGAACTGTGAAGCCTGACATAATTTAATGAGTGAAAGACTGAATGCCTCATGGAGTGCCCACAGGCCTTTCCTTTCTCTGAGACTTACCTTGGCCTCAGAAGTCCTTAGAAGCTTCATTACTTCCCCTTCTCGGGCATAATCCAAGGGTGTGTGTCCCATTTCATTCCTCTGTAGTGGATTGGCTCCTGGCAGGAGGAGAAAGAGAGGTCATCAGAGGCTCTGTGAGTAATCCGTGGGACCTCAGAGGTGGCTTGACCCCTGGTTTTAGTGTTAGGAATGCCCATGGAAATGTAGAGCAACAAAAACCTAAGAGATGGTAGAATGGTAGGAAAAACATGTCAAGTTACTTGACAGGAGAGTTCTTAGTCTTCTTTGACACAGAGGTCAGAATATTGTGGCTCCCACATGTGCAAAAACATACTATATATACTACCATACACATAGATGTGTCACACACACACGAGTGTGCTCTACACCTACAAATACACAGCTGAATATGCTAACAAATGTACCAAACACAAAGATTAGTATACCCCAACACCAATGCATTCATGAAAATACTCCTGTTATCTAACTCATCTGCATACAGATGAACATTCATTCATAAAAATCATATATAAAAGCGGTCCTTACTAAAGCACAGAATGTCCCAAACAATAGTGAAAAAGGCCCCTTCTTTCTGCCCCTCTCTCCTAATGCTTCTTTCTCTCTGGCATTTCCTGCCTGCCAGAGTCAGCTGAGTCCTCTGGAAGGGTGTGGCCATGCCCAGCAACCTGGCTGCACCAGTGCCAGTTGGAGGATGTTACAAATGCTACTTGTCGGTGAGTGTGTGCATGTGGGCGGGCTTTCCTCCACTCATTAGTTCCTGTGATTTGAAGACAAAGAATGATAAGTATGGCAAAAAGAAGGGTCCACGCACCTACCTTCTCCCTCTTGTAAGTGCCACCAGCTGTCAAGTCTATATAAAGTGTTTACTGTGTGCAAAGACTTGGCAGTGAAGGAGGAAAGGCTACTCTGATCTCCATGCTGTCGGTATCTCTTTTCCAAAGTCCAGGTCTGAGTACCTCCTCTCCTCTTCAAAAACTGTCCATTTCAGCCCTGACTGGTGTGGCTCAATGGGTTGGGTATCATTCCACAAACCGAAAGGTCACCAGTTTGATTCCTGGTTAGGAAATATGCCTGGTTTGTGGGCCAGGTCCTTGGTTGGGGGCATGTGAGTAGCAAGTGTCGATGTTTCTCTCTCACATGTCAATGTTTTTCTCCCTCCCTTCCCTTCTCTCTAAAGTCTTTAAAAAAGAAAAACAATCCCTCCCTCCCCCTGCAAAAAACCTGTCCATTCCATTCAATTCGGCAAACCTTAAATGAGTGGGGCCTGAGGACACAGAAGAATCAGATCTGGCCCTGATCCAAAGGCACGTCTTTCAAAGCAGGAAGAGAGAAACATAAGAAGAAAGGTGTGTCTTGAACACAGTGGATGGTCAAGAATTATGTGTTAAATGGAAGATTCCTTGATCTTTCTTGTTAGGGAAGTGTTGTCTGGAAGTAAAGAAACGTTAAGACTCAGTCTCTGCCAGAAGGATGTAACTGGCTGGCTGGGGACACTAAATACACAGGCAAGGCTGTGTCAGTGTGTCTAGCCACTGTTTGTTGATGGATAGTAAAAATCAGCGTTTCTCACTTCCAGACTGTGGAAACATTTATATCATGACATAAAAACATTCCTACAGAAGCTCTCTTCTTCATAAACGCCTTTAAACTCAGCAACAATAGCTAGCATTTATTAAGCATTTACTTGTGGTTATCTGCCTTGGTTGTAGAGGAAGAGTTGTGGGAGGGAGAGGGGAAAGGGGCAGAGAGCAGAAAGTAGGATCTAGGCCAAGGAAACTTATTATTAATTTTAAAAAATATCATACTTTTATACACAATCCTATTTTATAGCAGGAATTTGCTATAAAATATTAATACATATAGTTTTAAATTGATATACTTCATATACTTTTTTAAGTATACAATTCATTCTTGGCTGGTGTGACTCAGTGGATTGAGTGTCGGCCTGCAAACTGAAAGGTCACTGGTTCGATTTCCCCTGAAGGCATATGCCTGGGTTGCGTGCCAGGTCCCCATTAGGGGGCATGTAAGAGGCAACCAATGATTGATGTAAATCTCACACATTGATGTTTCTCTCCTTCTCTTTCTCCCTCCCTTCCCCTCTAAAAGTAAATAAAATTTTAAAAAGTATATAATTCAGTGGTTTTAAATATATTTATAAAGTTGTAAAACCATTACCACTATCTAATTCCAGATCATGTTCATTATCTTAAAAGGAAACCTGGCTGGGTAGCTCAGTTGATTAGAGCATCATCCTAATATGCCAGGGTTGCAGGTTTGATCTCTGGTCAGGGCACATACAACAATTAACCAATGAATGTATAAATAAATGGAACAACAACTTAATGTTTGTCACTCTTTCTCAAAAAAAAAAAAAAAAAAAAGAAGAAGAAGAAGAAGAAGAAGAAGAAACCCCATAACCATTACCAGAGACCCCATTCCCTCCAACCCCAGCAACTGTTGTCTACATTCAGTTTCTATAGATTTGCCTCTACTTGACATTTTGTAAATATGGAATCACACAATGTGTGGCCTTTTGTGTCTGGCTTCTTTCACTTAACATAATGTTTTCAAGGTTCATCCATGTTGTAGCATGTGTTATTCATGCTACCACATGCATATAGCATATACTTCATTTCTTTTCATCGCTGAATAATATTCCATTGTGTGGATATACCACATTTTTTTAGCATAAGCTGGTGGACTTTTGGGTTGTTTTCCCTCTTTAGCCATTCTGATGCTATGAACATCTGTATACAAGTCTTTACGTATTGTGTGGATATACCACATTTTTTTATCCATTCATGAGGTGGTAGGCTTTTGGGTTGTTTCCCCCTTTTAGCCATTATGATGCTATGAACATCTGTGTACAAATCTTTACATGGTGATAATACCTGTTGGTATTTACTAAGTACTTAACTCTATGCTAGGCACTGTGCTGTTCTTTATATACATTACATCAGTTAAGCCTAACAACCATCCTGAGAGTTAGGAATTAAAATCCCCATGCTACAGACATGGAAATTGGGTGCAGAGAAGTGAAATAAGTAGCCCAAAGTCACAAAGCTGGTTCTTCCCTTGGACCAAGAGTCAAACCCACCCCAGATTTTCTTAACTCTGACTTTCCACACTCCCATCAGGGTGGCCATGACATATCCTTGCTGAAAAATCCTTCAGGGTTTTTCAGTGCTTAGAGGATAAAGTACAACCTTCCTAGTGAGGAGGGTGTCTTTGGCAGCCTCAAGGGGAGCTCTGTCCATAGATACAGGCTGGAGTAGAAGAGTGACCAGGAAGAAACCTCTAGGAGGGAAAGATAAGAGGAAGAAAGAGAAGAAGAGAAATGGAACAAGGAAGACAGAGGAAAAAAAAGGGAAAAAGAAGGGGAGGGAGAAGATAAAGACAAGGCGAGAGAGGAAGACAGTAGGAGAACTGAGAGTGAGATTAACAGCTTTAAACAAGTGCTGTCAGTGATCTATATTTGCTTACAGAATGAAAAATGTGTGCCATAAACATTGGCCACTGAGTAATTTCTAGTAGGAGTCGTGTCACTTCTCATAAAGAATGGGATGAGGACAGGTAGGACATCTCTGCACCTGGGCCAGGCAGCACAGGGACACCTTTTAAAGCAGTGCTGGGCCTGTCTCCAGTCCAGGAGGCTTAGTCAGGCCTCACCCCAGCCACTTCTGAGGGAGGAGGCCAGGAGAGTTCCCCAAAGTTCTGGAGCCTCAGGGTTGTGCTCTGCTCCCACTTTAGGAAGGCTGAGGTAGGGGTACCATGAATAAAGTCCATCTGATATGAGCCCCCAGCCCCACCCCCCCTCGCCCTGATGCTCTGACTTGACTAATTGCTGTAATAATTGATAGAACCTGACTTCTACAACTGATCGATTTCACCTTCACGACCAACGGCCACAAACCATTACACTCCAATAAATAACCACATTGGGCCTAACCCGCCTGCCCTCTCCAGGGGTATCAGGATGGCCCGTGCCCTGGCCTGACCTTCCCTTGCCTCCCACCCAGGGCCCCTCCAGGCCAAGCAGCTGGTCTAGAGGGTCAGACCTCTGGGGCAAGTGAGAGGGCTGGATGGAGGTGGGGAGTGCTAATCGCAGGCCATCCGTCACCTCCCACTGGCTGTCTGGGGCTGGGGCCAACACCTGGAGCACCCCAGGCAGTATAGTGCAGGACCCCTCCCCTCCTCGCCCTGCTCCAGATTAGTGTGTCCCAGCTTATAATATTTGATAAATAGCAGACTGGCTTCCTGGCAGCACTGCTGCGGCTGCGCCTGCCCGCTACAGCTGTAGAAGGTCACTCATTGGGGAAATATGTTTCTGTCAGTGGTATTGAAAAAAGTTTAGTGGAGTGACAGGCCTCAATTTTTCAAATTTTATTAACTCCATCCTCTTAACCATTTGTCTTGAATTCCTTCAGATTCTGGGGGATGTGTCAATAGGGCTTCGGTCAGGAAGGTACGGTGGGGGTGGGTGGTCATGGGCTGGTCCTAATTGGTAGGGTGGCTGGCTTGGGTTTCATCACCCAAGCCAGGGTAAGAAAGTGGAAATGTTGTTGGTGAGAGAGAAGGCCTGGCCCACCGGGTCCAGGAAGCCCACTGCTCTTCTCTGGCATAGCACCTGACTTTGATTTGACATGATCATAGACTTTCGGAGAGGAAAAGACCTTAATGGTGAGCTTTCCCAACACCCTAAGAAGTGACAACCCTCTACTACAACCAAAACAGATGGTCACCCTGGCTTCCCTGAACGTGCCCAGAACCCAGCGCCAAGTTCGTGGCCCTTCAAGGGGTTTCCCCTACTAAATTAAGGGGACATCCTTTTCATATGAGCCCCAACCTCTCTCTCCAACCCCACTCCCATCTTTGTCTTCCTGCAAATGCCTGTTCATCTTTTAAGACCCAGTTCAGGCTTCTCCTCCAGGAAAGCTTCCTTGTTTCCCTCCTACCCCAGGTTTGGTACCATCCTTTGTGCTCCCATGGGCCCTTGTTTCTATCTTAATGCACTAATCACGCTGCACTGAAACAGTCTGTCTCCAACCAAGATGTAAGAGCTCTTAGAGGCTAG